AAGTACTGGAAAGTGTATTTGACGCTCGAGCGGGCTTTCCATGCTTAAGCGGACAATGTTATATCAGTTCGTGAATCTAATATTTCAGATCATTTTTGTATATCTCTCTCTCTTTAAAAAGCCTTTGCTCTCCCTTCTCTCTACATTTCCCTACGCCAAATTGGATCAAAACCTTGATTTCTCAATATCCATTAGAGTTCTGCCATAAGTTCTTTATCAAAATTGGTAAACTTCTCGAGGGCTTCGTTGTGTGCAGTGAAGATCAAGTTTCGACACCGTTGATTTTGGGGGTTTCATCTCATTTCTTCTTCAAAACTTGAGGTAGGGATTTTCTTAGAGTTATATATATATATATATATATATTTGCAAGATCTGTATGATTTTCGAAACATCTTTCGATAGCTTTGAAAATTGATTGTTGATTCAAGAAGTTAAGCGATTTTGAAAGTGGATTTGTCGCTTGTTCTTTTAAAATGATCTTATGGGTTTTGATCTTCTTTGATTGAAGAAAAGATGATTTTGGAAAGTTTTCTTTCAAAAGATTTGAGTTGTATAGTTTTAGTGAAAAAACTTAGAATTTGGGGATTTTTTTTAAAGGAGATTGAAAATTCATGAATGATATTGTTATATTTATTTTGTGTGTCAAAATAAATGGATGTTTTGGAAATTTTCTTATTTATATTTATATAAATGATGAATTTCGAGGAATATGAGAATTGTTGTTCATTTTGAAAATTATTGTTCAAAATGTTGAAATAGTCTTGAAATAACTAATTGTCAAGGATACTTGAGAAGAGGGAATTGTGTTATTCCTTGGATGATTAATTGGAATAAAAGTATTTATATTCATCTTGTGAAATTGATATATCAATTCATTTGATTACATTAAACTTTGAAAGTTGATTTGAAAACTTACATTGATAAAAGAATGTTGAGAAACAAGTTTTCATGGAATGGTTTTGGGGTAAATACGTTGATAAGTCTTGATAGGTTGTGTAAATGATATTGAATAAGTTGGCCTGAGAACCCGGGTGAATGACCGAAAACCCGCGTGGGTAAGTGTCGAGCCTTCCGGTTAATACTGGTAAAAATGATAATTTGGTAGTACTTGTATAGTCTACTTGCAGACACCGACCTAGGGATTACTAGAATCGTATTTACTGCCCTTGAAATAAATTGTTAAGTTTTGAACAATTGAAATTGCATGATATCATTGAGTATGATGGTTTTCAAAAGATAAAAATGTGATTTATCTTCAAAAAGGGCATAACATGACATGTGCATTTCATCTCTTGAGGCTTGTATAAAATGTATATACTTTGTTAAGAATTTCCTACTGGGCTTTATGTTTACCCTACGGGATTTTTGTGCAGGAAAAGATGTGGTGATCCCACCTAACTAGGGGCGTGAAAGTATGTGTGTTGGGAGTGCAATGCTCTTATTTTGCTGTGACTCTGTGTATAAGCCAAGGGCTGTGTTTGTGTGGGTTTGAATAACCGTTTTGTGTAACCAGGCTCAAGCCTTGGAAGCTGGTAAACCCTTGGGAGTATTTATTTGTTTATTTACTTGTTGTTGGATTAATGTATTATTGCATGAAAAACTATTGTATCATGTAATGTAAGTTTGGAGATTTATATTCAGTTTTCCTTGAAAGAGCCATGATTGTTGTCTTATCATTTGGGTTAGAAACTTGGGGCGTTACACTCTCACTGTTTCTCTTAAGTTTTCTCAAACAAAATGCATATAATGCACTCAACTTCTCACTCCTTAACTTATATATTGAATAGAATTAGATTAGGATTAATTTAAGGCTCTAATCATGTATTAGCTTAATTAATCTCTACTTAATCATGATTAACACTTAACTTAATTAATCTATTAATTACAATTTAATCATTCTTAATTAATACTAATCTCACTTAAATTTTTAATTAAGTTCCCATTAGATTCTTCACACTAAACTGAATCAATTAGACTTATCACTCAAAGATTTCTGAGTCTTATGGGTTATCAATTCCTAATTCAAATCAAAATCACCTATCAAATAAATCACATACAAATCACACCACATACAATGCAAAAAACAAAAACAAAAAAATAATAATAATAATTAAAATTTTCTATAATTAAATTAATGCAAAATGATATGCAAGGTGTGATTATCACAATTGAAGGCTTAAATGTAACCATTCAAGCACATACCAATATACATTCATCTTCCTACTTTATTATAGTACTATTCATTGTGTTTTAGCTCACCCATTTCCCATATGTGTATGTTGGTGAAAAAGACTTGTAATGGAAGGTTTTGCCTCTTGAAGTTATATGTATATGTTAGTGAAGAAGAAGTTGTATTTAGTATGCTCATGAAGTTGTACTTAGCTTTGGAAAAGATGCCCTCGTAGAAAATATATACTTCTTGAAGAAAATTAAATAATGTAATAAAAAATGTTGCACGTTTTGTTTCGTACAGGCATGCACTGCCCTTGATGGATGTTTCAAATAAACAAACGGCTTCCACAATTTAAAACAAATCTTACCCCCAATTATTACAAGACTCTAACTTGTTTTGTTTAGTTAGGTCTTCGATAGTCTATGACTATTGGTCGGTTACCACACCATTCCGTTTGGGGGTGAAATAGGGTCATGGCCTGACTATGATATGTAACCTATTTATTCTTTGAAATGGGATTCATTTGACAACTCAAGTAAAAAAACTTTATAAGATTTGTTAGTTTGTAAGGTGTTACTAAACTTTTACATGATAACAAAGTACACGTTCTTCTGTGCATTTTTGCACATTGTTTAGTTAATTTGCTTGTTCAAAAAGTTACCTTTCCAGGAGATGTTGTGAGCAAAGCTACGTAGTGCTATAATTGCTTGTTGCAACAATGTGATTGGTGCATGTCAATGGGCCTAGTACTTTACATTAATGTTTATCCCAAGGAGTACGTTTTTATTAGTATAGAATATTGCTCCAACACATCAAATATTTTTTCTCTTTCTATAAGCATAATGATTTGCATATGAGGGATTGTACTACATAAATTAAAATACAATACTGTGCGTCCTACTAGAAAACTAACTTTTTGCGTTTATTTTTTTGCAACTGATTATTTGACCATCGCAAAAAAAATTATTTGCAACGCAAATCAACCTAAGGAAAGACTTGCGAGCCCACTATTGGGAACCCACTCAGCCCAATTTATATTTTTCTTCATTTCCCCCAAATTTGATCATGTAAAACTTGCTCTAGACTCTTATTTTCCCCAAATCTAATTTCGCTCGATCGTGTCTGAGGAAGAGAATCTGATTTCCCTCTCTCGATTTCTCTCTATAGATCACCATGACCGTTTGAAGAAGAGATCTCCAACGGTATGAACTCTCTCTCTCTCTCTCTCTCTCTCTCTCTCTCTCGTCTTAGTGAGTCACTTCGAATCATTCATTCGTATGTCGACTTATTCATCTCTTTACTTCGATCACTTGAACTCAGTGAACTCACTGTAATTCGTATTCAACTTTTTCATCTGAACTCACTGTAATTCGATCACTTTTTCGTCAATCTATTGATTTTTCCACCAAGTAGTCTGATTCTTGAAACAAGCTTTGGTTTGAATCAATCTACTACTGGTACAAGCTTTAGTTTCGCCAATTTATTGATTTTTCCTCACTGTAATTCGTATTTGAAGATATATATGTATGTATGTATGTATGTATGTATAACCTTCTTCTCATAAATTTTGATTTCCTTAGCTGTTCTATTTTCGATATGAAATTGAATTTATTTCTTGATAGCAAAAAGTATGTACGAAATGGTTGTGCATGCTCCAATTTATTATTTGATTGATGCAAAACTGACCAGTTGGCGAAATTAGTATCCTAGTGAAGTCAGTTGGCAATAATTTGTTGCTAGCATTTTGATAGTGCCCTGCCTTGACTATGTTGAGATTCACAGTTAATTAAAACTATTATCAACATCATCATCATAGAAATATTTTCTTAGAACAGGTAGCTTAAAATCTGTACCCCACACTAATGAATCATCTGATTTATATGAAAAGCATTGCGAAAATTTTGAAAAGACATTCCATTGGAAATTCTTGTGATTGTTGGCCATTATCTTGTTTCTAGAGACTAAGATTTATGTTTTTTTTTTTTTAATTTAAAAAAAAGTAGTTATTTTATCTATTTTTAATTGTTGGTGATAAACGTGCACTTGTTAAAAGGTTGTATCTAGTGCACAATGTTCCCACTTACTTAAAAGAGAGTTTGGGATAAGTAATGGATTTGAAGAAGAGGAATTGGTTATTTATTTTTAATAATGGTTTGGTGATGAGTCTTTAGAAGCTGCATGTTGTGGAATGACTAGATTTTGCACCACCAACGTGTTTAACATTTGAATGACTTACATTATACTGCTTCTTAATTGATGGAAATTGATATAAAATTTGCATATAAAAGGGAAATTATTGAGATATTTAAAAGGGTGAAGTATTCATTAGTGAGATTAGGAAAAAATATTTTTAAAAAAATAATGATTTTAATTATTAATATTTATAATGTTTATCACATTTTTGTAAATATTTTTTTAATCCTTCCCTTATTTAAATGGTGTACTATGACAACTTAAATTATCATTAAAATTTTGAATAATGGAGAGCAACACTGTTACGATTATTAAAAATTGCAAATAAATGTGAGAGTGAACAATTTTGGTGATGGAGATTTTCAGTGTTAGTATATTTTTTTCTTTAGTCATTGGGTTGCCTAAATACGAAGAAGAAAAGAAAAAGAAAAAAAAAAACATTTTCAACAATATGACTCATTGATTTATTTTCTGTAGGCCTTCATGAACTTGTAATTGTGCTATTTTGACGTACACCAAAAAGAAAGTATTATTTGAATACAACTTCTGAACTATCCTCTTCATTCTCTTTTACTTTCTATTCATTAAATTATAGTAGATTTAGAACGTATGTATTTATTTATCATTATTCCATTTAATTTGATGTAGGTGTCCTTTTTAAAGAACCGTGTTAATATTGCTAGTGGGACACCAAGCAGGTAAGTGATCTTAGTCTATTTTTTTATTTGATATTTTGTCAAGGCACTGGCTCTGTAAGGCATCTTTGGCTGGAAGGTTACCTATTTAGTCTGTCAAGGTCCTTGATTATTTTTGGGTCTTTGAGATAGGTTGGTAAACTAGTCTTTGTTTTGGGAGCTAAATTTATAAGGCAATGTATTTTAGTTGGAATAAGGTTAAAAAGAAGTGAGAGTAATAAATTGATAGTGCTGCAAGCAGTGCACTAGGGTGTGATTCTCTTACCCTTTCTTATCAAACCTACATGCCAAATTTAGGTTTCTTTATTTGGTATTTTCTTATCTTCATCCTTGAGTTTTTCTAAGTCTTTATGCAAGCAAGTTGTATCATGTTGCCTTGTATATAACTTTCAACTTCTTTTTAGTTTAGTTTACTACTCATGTGTCTGGTTTTTTATTGTGAGCGGTCATCGATGATGTGACAGACTGTGAGTCCTCTGAAAATCATAGTAGTCACTAAGCTGGCGCTCGCCCTTTGTAGTTGGAGATGGAGGGAACTGAAGCAATCTTAGAGAGAGAGTGACACTGAGGGAGGAGAGCCTCTGGTGTATAGAGAAACTGTATATCTTTTGAAAATAGCTTGCTGCCCAAGGAGGGGAAAATCTCTTTTTATAGGACTTGATCCATAGGGGCCAACTTACTCTCATCCTTTTTACTTCATGTGCATTTATTTCCTTGTTCACCCAAACAAAGAATCTTGTTATTTTTTGTTCACTTGTGTTTTTGGAATGGATCTTCTCCATTTCATTATGCAGATCTAATTCATAATTTTCTTTCTCCTTAATTAGCAGGATTAGCATTTCAATTTACTTTGTCGATTATGCTGTTGTGGTGACATGTGAAATATCATTTATCTTTATTTTTTTAGTCCTTTTCGTTTGGGTTCATTAAACCTGTTAAGTTGTATAAAATGATTTTGTAAAATCTCAAATATGTTTTAGGATCAAGAAGTTGATTGATATGGAGGCACTGGGATTAACACGATTAGCAGTGATTGTGCTTGACATGCAAACTGATGTTAAGGGTTATTCCTTATTCACACTTCCTCAAGTCAGGTTTGACTATAACTTTAACAATCTCTGTCCCTGTTTTCCTTTTACCATTGTCATCTTGTATGTTATTTCTTTCTTTGTCATAAACATTGTTAATTTAGAATCCAGAACAACCACGTCTTTGTCATAAATATTGTTAATTTGTTTCTCATTTATTTGTGTCGTGTGACAGAGATGAGTTCTGGGACTTGTGTAAGAACTACTTGCACCCAAGTAAGGTTTACTATGGTTTGCACTCAAGTTTGGTTTACTGTCTTACTCTGGTTTACTTAGATGATAAACATTAATTGGAGAACTCAATAGTGATTTCTATATTGCTCTATTTAATTTTGATTTCAAGCTCTCTCTACAGTTTTCAATATCAATTTAGTTTGATGAAGCTCAGAAGTAATATGTGGTTTAAGAATATGTGGTTTTCAATATGTGCCTTTTGAAAAGTGTATAGAAATTCCTTTGAGAAAATGTGGTTTGATTTGGAATTCTGATTATTTGCTTATTATCTCCACCTTAAATGACAATCATAGGGCTGTTAGCATAACCTTTTCTTGAAATTTGTTGTTTGATGTGAAAATGGCATTGTTTTACAAGGTAATTTATGCTATGTACAAAAAAAAAAAGAAAAAAAAAGAAGAAGTTGTTTTCAAATAAAGGCAGAATGTATGACCATAACAAGGATATATTATTGTACTTGGGATGCTCTATTATGTTTTGAATGAGAATTGTGTTACCTTTGTTACTGTATCATTTTTCTATGATTAACTTGGGTGCAAGTTACTAATTGCATTTTGTTTTTTTTGCAGTCATCCAATGGATGAGAATGCCACTGTAAGTTGTCCTGGTTATTATTATTATTTGCAATTTCATTCCTTAGATGATTATTTGTCTTATTTACAGTTATTTGCCTAGTAGTAGTAATGTTTTCATCTTTCCTTATGCTTGCAATGTATCAATACTCCTCTTTTTTTTTCCAATTGAGAATAGTCATTTTTGCAAGCACTTGCTCTCCCAACTCCATCTCATTGGTTCACAAAGCTTGATATTTGGATATATGTTGTGTTTGCGTTTTTGAGGAAGATGTTTCTGTCATCCCCTTCTTTGTACTTTCTGTTTTTCACTTTTTTAGGGAACCCAATGTGTGCTCAACTAGGTTTGAGTTGAAGGTCAATTTTAACTAGGTCTGCAGCATGATTTTTCCAAAGTATATGGTTTATATTGCCTTTGATTTGATGAATTATTGACTAAATAATACATGATTTGTTTACAGAAAATAATGAAAAGAGGGGATGGGGTGTCAATGTATGCTTTATTATGAAGTATGTATTGAATGTGTCTTCTGATTAAATTTTTTATTTGCACGAAGCATTTTGTTTTAATTACTGTAATATATTTTTGTAAGTGGAGGGCTATATATATATATATATATGTATAATTTGACCTACCCATCATTTTTCATCTTCCTGCTAAAATAGACTTTTTAAGTTATTGTGTACATTTTTTAGTTGCTGTAGTTTTTGCCTTCAGCTCCTTTTATGATATAAAATTTGTTTGAAACTGTCTGTGATAGGTCAAGAATGAGGAAGAGGAATTTCGCACTGGGCATCTTTCTGTTCTGATGATGAGTGTTAAAACAACACACAGGTAATGCATAATTTTTATCCCTGTAAATTGAGGATAATGTTGTACCAGTGAAATTTTGATAGAAGGGCCATAGTCTTTAAATGGCTAAAAGCGGTTGCCCTTGTGGTATGTTGAATTTGAAAAAATTTTGTTTATCCTCTAGATCTGGCCTTGGAGTTCTCATTTGTCTAGACATGGGTTGTTTAGATTCTAAATTAATAGGACTTCAATCCTAAATAATTATCCTTGACACAAAGTGAGTAGTATCTTGAATAATTGAAGGTTCTTGGACTGGATTTATGTATTAATTTGTTTATGTATTAATTTGCTTCAGGATTGAAGCCCTATTAATTTGTTTTATGCATTCATAATTATCCTTGATGCAAAGTGAGTAGTATCTTGAATAATTGAAGGTTCTTGGACCTCATAGGATAGGTGTACATGACATCATTTTTGTTTTGTGTTTTAAATCTTGGTTCATCTATGAAACTGATGGATGTATTTAAATATGCTAGATATATTTAACTTAAATATGCCAGATATATTTAAATTCCTTATAGGATAAATTTGGGAAGAAAAGAAGTTTTGAGGATGGAACGCATAATGTCAGTCTCTCTGAGTATATTAATAGAGTCATCAAAGCCATGCATATATATAGACAAATTGTGAGTGTATATATATACAGTCATTTTCTCAATTTTTGTTCCTCTATCTTCTCACTCTTCTAGGACAAAAACAAAAAATCTGTATATACAAATATGTCACACCCAGATGTTAGTGTTTGTTTTCTTTAGAATGGATTATGTATTAACTTTCTGGCTGTCCATTTTGATTTTCATAATGTTCAATCTTAAGTTTTTACAATTAATGGATGATAAATGTTTATGAACTTCTTTTGTAATATGGAATGGTGATTTTTCAAATGTTTGATCTTCATTCAATGGAAATTTGCTATTTCTGCAAGTCTATTGGCAGCTCTTATATTTGTCTCTCTCCCACTCATTTCCATTATGGTTCGATGATAGTGGTATGTTCTTTTCCTATGTTACTTGGGTTATGTGTGAAATAAATTCTAAACCTACATAAATTTGGTTAATTTATATGATAAATCAATAAATGGTGGTTTGATTCACTGGTAATTGACAGGGTTCTGAATTAGCATTGCAAGTTATCATATCTACTAGTGGATTTTTCAGTTGTATGGACCCTTTTTGATTGCTTGGACATTCATTATGAGCTCCTGTGCTTGGAGGGATGCCATAGCCTCCAGGTTTATAGTCCTTTATTGGTTCTCTTGTGATATACTTATCAGGATAATGATGCTATAATGTCATAGTAATAAAAAATTATGGCATGTGCTCTGATTAGTTTTCTAGAAGAATGACTTCCAAGCCAGACATTGATTGTACTGTTGTGACTTGAAGCTTGTTTTTATATCAAATATATCCTTGTTTGTGATAGCACCTTTGGAAGTTTAGTGCTTGAGAGAATTGTTTCCCTGATTTTTCTCTGTTTTATATGTTTTTTTTCTCGCTTTTTTTGGTTTTGGTTCTACTTTCTACTACCATATGCCATTTGTCTGTCCATGGTTAGAAACATCCTGCACCCTTGTTAGTTTACCTTCATCTGACTGTTTTTGGAACCTGCATGTCACAACCCAAGAACCTGCCCCTAAAGGTTCGGGTATGACCTATGCAAAAACGGACATAAAAACTGATGTACATACCGTACGGGGCCTTATCGGAAGCATAAAATATTAATCTAACATAATACAAGCATACTCCATTGAGCTATTTTTGATATGCCAGGATCTCATGCATTACATATATCGTCAAAAGCAAATAAAGTTTAAAACTATATCCTTGGATATCGTGTACAAACATATACATTTACAGTCCTAGCCCGATAATTGGGCATAACAAAAGGAATATGGAAGTTATGTACAACATCCGTAGATGGCTCTCAAAAGTAAACCCATATCTTAGCAGCTTCACAAAACAATTGGCCTGGTATGGTGCCGGGACATGTAAAGGTTGATAAAAGGGACAGCGTCAAGTTAGGATTGACCCCCTGACTGATGACCTACAGAAATGGACATAATAAAGAGTGAGCCGGGCTCAATGAGTAGTAATACATAATGAATGACGTCTATCTCGAAATTTAAATACATCGATACATAAAAAGATGCAGCATACACTTGGTTTATCTGATTCTGTGTTTAGTTCATACTAGCTCTAGGCCTAATCCTGCGACATGAGCATGTGGCTATAAGCCCTTGAACATATGGCACGGAACCCTTGAACATATGGCACGAAGCCCTTAAACATATGGCACGAGGCCCTTGCAATACACTTGAAACTTGTGGCACGAGGCCCTTGAAAGACACTTGAAACTTGTGGCACAAGGCCCTTGAAATACACTTGAAACTTGTGGCACGAGGCCCTTGAAAGACACTTGAAACTTGTGGCACGAGGCCCTTGAAATACACTTGAAACTTATGGCATGAGGCCCTTGAAAATACACTTGAAACTTGTGGCACGAGGCCCTTGAAAATAGCATATGGCCCTTGTAAATGCTTTTCTTTACATGCTTTAACATTAACATATCCTAAACATGCATAAATACATTACATGCTTGAGACATTAACATAATTGCCTTACATGCCTTGAAACATTGACATGATTGCATAACATTATATAGGTACTACTACTCACAGTGTTGAGGTGGCGTGTTGCTTCCTTCTGGAATGTGCCCTGCACACAATTAATACATTAGTTTCTTTTTTTTTTTTTTAAAACATTTCCTGAGTCTTACACCTTGCATGCATTTACAACCGCTTTAAAATCATCTGTAAAATACTTTTAAAATACCAGAGAGACAAGCACTCAAAACTGAGCAAACATTTAATTTTTCTTGAAAATGAGTATCCCGCTCGAGCGCCACTTTGTCCGCTCGAGCAGACTGTAAAATGCACAAAACTGCTGAGAGGTGGTTTTTCCCGCTCGAGCGGACCGAGCAGATTCTGAAATTCTGAACCTCCATTCGAATCCCAACCTGGTATCCACTCCATTTTTTACATGCAACCCAAGGTTAGGTTAATGCAATATTCCCACCTAACATCACTATAACATGGATTCTACCTTGAGTATAGTAAATTAACCAAGATTAGAAGCTTCAACAAGCCATCTCTCTCTCTAACTCCATTCTTGGATTCAAGTTCTTCATATCCTTGAAACATAACACATGATATATGCATAATTCCATGAAGTGATGATAGAAAACCGTAGATTGAAGTATAATTTCATACCACACCCAATCTAGATGCCTAAGCAACCAATTGAGAGAAACCCTCATTAATCAAGCATGAATTGGACATGAATCAAACATACACATAAATTACAAACTCCAAGTGGCCATAATAAGAAGGATTTGAGCTTACCTTGAATTCAATCCTACATCTCTAACAATTTTGCCAAGCTTTCTTGTTGAATCCCTTCTCCCCCAATTTCTCTTCTTTTCTCCCCCAAAATGGTATTCACGTTTTTTTTTTTTGTTTTTTGACCAAAGCTCATGAAGTCTTAGAAGTATATATTCATAAATAAGGCATATAAGACAAAAATGAATTGTTTAATCATTCCAAAATTAAAATTTCGCAAACATGCTTAATATTACTTAAAAATTGTGCTGATCACAGATATATAATCAATTTCAGCTAATTAAGCTGTTAAGGCTTCCAATTTCTAATTCAAACGTGTTAATGGTGACAGATAGTTTCCTTGTGAGACAGATAGACGTTCATAGACATGGATTTCACTTCCTAAATCATAATTTTCCACGAAACTACACAGTAAGCATTTAAAAGTACCAATCGAGGACTAAGAATATAACAGAAATCATGTGCGAGGGTCGGGTTATTACACTGCATGCCATCCATAAAATTTTATGAGTGACACTTTTTTCTCATATTGTTTCAATGTGGGACTCGTTGTCTGTAACGCCCTAAAAAAAAATAACATTAAACCCATCAAATAAGACATTCATTGCCATATGAAATAACCGCATTTTTCTATTCATCAGAGTTTCATTACAAAAGTATTACATGTTAACAACAAAAGCAAAATGCCCTACGGGCTTACAGCTTTCCAAGTTAACACTTGGTTACAACAAAAGAGTACTAACTCATTTACACATTAAGCCCTTGGCTTGAATTTACATGTAATACATCAAAAATAAAACGACAAAAGTATGTCCGCCTCTAGCCTCCCAAGCTATGTCCTTGGAGGTGGCATGCTACCTGTACCTGAAAATGATATTCCCATATAGGGTGAGCCACAGCCCAGTAGAAATACACTAAACCAACCATGAACAATGACTAAAAGATTAGCAATTGATAGATGGCCAACACTGATACATTCACATAAATTACATATTTATGTCATACGACTTATGAGTCCAAGTTACTTTCCATTTTCCCTTTGTCAACAGATAAGCATGTAGCTCTATCATCATTTCAACAGATATGTATAAAAACTATATCCCACATTCACAGATAAGCATATAAGCTATATCCACATTCTCAACAGATATGTATAACAACAATATCTCACATTCTCAGATAAGCATATAAGCTATATCCACACTTCACAAAGATAAGCATATGAGCTCTATCTTCACTTCTCTAGACAAGCATATGAGCTGTATCTACGGAGTTCATCCCCTATCTTCTCCCAATACTATCCGGTTTAGAGGTACATCCCCTATCTTCCCCTAAACCGCGGAGTACATCTTCCATCTCCTCCTCTACACATAACGTATACAAACACATTGGTTCTATATACCATCACTCAATACATACAGTTAATGTATTCTATCAACCGTCAAATTTCATGACACGTTCCATTGATTAGTTTTCGTTTGCCTAATCATCATGCATTGTCTACAACAATCACGACTATCCTCCACCGATAGCCCAAAGCAGTTAGTTTTAAACAGAAAATAAATGCACAAATAGATATTCAATCAACATTTCATTTCGGTGAGTGACAAATAATACACTACACCCTTTAACCCCATACATTCCCAATCTCAACAATTCCATTTCATTTCCTCATTTCGCACAATTAATTATCCCAATTAATCAATCAATGAAATTAGGTCATTTTCCATAATTAACATTACAACCCTTAGGTCCCTTTTTCATCAATGATTCAACATTTATTCCATTTCTCTATACCGAACATGCATCTAGGTTTATTATAAATAAAACCCCAAACTTTTGTAAAATAACACAAAAGCCCCAAACTTTCACAAAACTACCAAACCAACCCCAACATCTCAAAATACTAAAATTTAAAGACAAAACCCATAGAGAGGAGTAGGATATCCCTACCTCAAATTCAGAGCCTCAAAGGAGAAGACGACAAAACCCAACGTGCTCCAAATCCCGAAATTTTCAGATTAAAATGTAGCCCTCGACGATCAACAACTTTTTTGTAAAGGCCAAAGATGAGCAAATCACTCCTACTAGATCAAAACCTAGAGAGAAGGTAGAGTCCTAGAGTGAGAGGCTCAACAATGGTGTTTTTGGAAAAGTAGGAGAGAGAAGAGAAAGTGAAAAAGTGATTTGAAAAGTCAAAACACGGAACTTAAACCCAGTCGACCCGCTCGAGCGTCAAACACCCCGCTCGAGCGTCACTCACAGACTCCCGCTCGAGCGCCAACAATCCCGCTCGAGCGGCGGATACACACTCCCAGAACTTTTACAGAACCAGGTCTCCGCTCGAGCTTCCAACTCCCCGCTCGAGCGGAAATCACACAACCACGCTCGAGCGGCCAACTCCACGCTCGAGCGGCCAACACTGCACAGGAAATACTGGATGGGTGCAATTCCCACTCGAGCGCCAGAACCCCCGCTCGAGCGGACAGGTAAAAATCTGGGCAACTAGTTTTGGTTTCTAAACTCAACCAACCTGTAACAAACGTGCCCAACACATCCTATAACTCTAATACGAAGTAGAAAGGATGTAAACGCGATAATAATCAACTGCCAACATCCACGGACACATGTCCGGATCACTGTACAACAAGGGTAAACCCGGGATCGCTATATTGTCTGTGTCTCAGAGATTGATTTTTTGGATTTATATATTTTGTTATTAGTCTGGTTTTCTTCAATTGTTTCACATCTACTTTCCACACTGAATTTGATACTAGGGAAGTTGTAATTGTAAGTGGATTTGGAATATCTGTTTGTGTGCAAAGAAAATCACTTCAAAAGATCCTCACAATTTTCATAGCATTGATATGCTCTTTTGACTCTGTAATTTTCTAATATGCTTTGTTGGGCTGTTGTTTAGACTCGAAGAAGAATGACCTTATGCTTATGAACTCAAACAAGTTTAGTGACTTCCAGATCAAAATTTGCGAGCGAAGAACCATGTTGGCAATCAAGAAGAGGAAATTCTCTTCAGCAAATTGTTATTTTCATATCCTTTGGGTTTTGGGCTTTTAATATGAAGAAGGATCCTGTGTTTTAATATGAAATTGTGCAGTCCCAAATGTGTTTTAATGTCTAGAATGTCATAAAAGAACTTATTTCATGTTTTTAGTTGTAATAACTTTTATATATGGCTCCAATTTTAAGACTCAAATGAAATGCCTGATTAAACTATAATATTATACTGTTTGAATTCTTGTCATTGCTATTCCTAAAATGCTTAATGTTACACTATCATGTTTCTTTTTTTCTTTTTGTTTTTTTTGCGATGGTAACAAGATGGTCGCCAAAAAATATGTTAGCATTTTTTTTTTTTTTTTTGCGATGCGACGACAAAATAGCGGTCGGGAATAATTTTGTGACCGTTGCTTTGCCGTCACAAAAAGTATTTGCCACTCCTTCATTCCCGACCCCCATTTACCGTCGCATGGACGGTCACAAAAGGTCTTTTGCGACTGTATTTTTATTATTTGCGACGGTTTGTAGCAGTCGCAAAAAGTGTTTTTTTTAGTACGTGTATTCTCTTTTTGCATAATTTTTTTATAGAATGGGTGATCTAACAAAGCTAGCAAATTCAAAGCTATACATAGAAAGTGTTATCCATTAAAAGCCTTCCTATGTGATCAATACTCCAAATATACCGCCAAAATCAAGCTTTACTATATTGATTGATGGTCAATATTCACCAAAAGCATAAGAGTGTCACTATTCAATCTTAACTTCTCATGTGGCCTTTGTGTGTGTTTAGAAGTGAGTGGAAAAATTGTTGCATTGTTTCTCCTTTTTTGTAATTTCTTTCCACAATATTCCACACAAAAATTTAGCTTCATTTTGCTCACATGTATTTGTGACCATGACATATGTTTTGCTTGATTAACATTTAGGAGTGACTCAACTAGTCAATAAGAACCAAAAGACTAATGTTAACTTCATTGGTATGATTTTGCAAAGCTTGGAGGAGGATGAAGCAAAACTTTCAAGAGGTAAAAAAATGAAGACAAATCTATTGTCTCAAGTGTCCCAACCCATGCCTCAATACTGGTTTGTCCTATTTAGCATATTGTGTTCTCCTTTATGGTATAAAAATGTTATATATTTATATATATTATTGAGAACACTAGATGTTTAAGAGAACAACCAAGCAATGGACAGATTAAAAGGATCTCCCCTTCCACAATATCAGATATTTTTTGTCCATTCTGAAATTTATTTCAACGGAAAGCATATATTGTCAATAGTTTACGAGTTTGCTCACATTGATAAGGGAAAAGCTACAACTGAAATTTACAATGCATGGAATATGACTTCAATTCCATGCTTTGGGTGAATAGTAAGCATTTGCATTGGTGAGTGAACATAAGTTGGCGAGAGGGTGAATGTATAGCGTTGCAGAATCATTGAGAGTGCTATCTTTGTTTCAGCTGCTGCGAAGTTCAAACCCACACACATTCGAGGTCCTAAACCAAATGGAATGAATGCTGTTGTGTTGTTATTAGTTGCTTTAGCCACCCCTTCTGCAAATCTCTCTGGCTTGAAAAGGTGAGCATCTTTTCCCCATTTATTAGGGTCATGGTGGAGTGCTAGAGATGGAATATAGACATCCATATTGGCTGGAAGAACAAGCTTTCCCAATCTGACTTCCCTCTCAACTTTTCTCCACATATTGGCTGCTGGACTACACAACCTTAGAGTTTCATTAGGATCATGCTCATCTATAAGAAAAAATAAATGATTAGAAACTTAATCTTATTTCACATTGTCAGATTTACGCCCCAACTGTACCTAAAAAAATGTTTCTTTATATCCCAAACCAACAGCGGTCCCACGAATTTCTCCCTTTAGGATGCAAGCCCAAACAAAGCTTATAAGATAGACTCATTTTGCGTCATCTTATAAGTCCATTATGGACATCATCTTTATCCAATATGGGACATCCCCATCTTGGTATAGGAATGACCTAACTATGATAACATGTAAAACACATGGCCAATTTCTACGTAGAAGACTAACCACTCGAGGCTAGTCCAGCAATTGACTTCACGAGTTTTGTCAGGTGCCTCTAAGATAGAAGTGTTTTGTGTTGTCTTAGAAGTTTAGTATTGATATCGTTTGCATCTGATATGAAATGATAACATGCATACATTAATGGATGATGATTAGAGAGTTGAAATTGCTTACACTCTTCAATCTTGCGATGCCTTCTGGACTTGGGTTTTGTTGGCCAAACAATTCAAGCACCTCCTTCCTTGCTTTCTCTTGCCAATCTGACTAGGAGAAAAATGCTCCAAGCTAGTAAGCCATTAGTGGTTTCTTGTCCAGCAATGTAGAATATCTTGCATTCGTCTATCATAGTGTCAATTGAAATATTACTGTTATCATCAGCATCATGGTAAAACTTTATAAGTGATCCAAGAAAGTCACTCCCGTAGTTGTCTGATTTTCCTTGCGCCACTTTCTCTTCTCTTTTTTGTATCATCGTTATGATTAAGTCTCGAATTGCATGTTCTATTCTATCGGACTCAGTATCATCGTTTGATTTCACAAATTTCCTGCAAATTGGAAATTGATTAGTTGGCATGTCTGATGCCAAGTAGTTGTTACCAAGGGTGCCCCAAAGATCCTAGACCATGTAAACTAGTTAGCACTTTTGATACGCACTCAATGTCATCATTTGACTTCACAAATTTTCAGCAAATTTGGAATTGATTAATTGACACGTAAAAGAGACATGTTTGATGCCACCATTACAACAAATTAAGGTTTTAGGAACCTAAACAAAATCATTTTTTACGGATGAAATATTATAGTTGCTAGAAGTGTCATTTTTATATTTTCAGTGATGAATTATTATTCTTTTGTGACCAAAATCTTAGAAAGAAAAAAAAAAAAAGTAATCATATTGGCACTAAAGTATTCTGTCCCCAAAAGTATACTTACTAGCGATATTTTTCAAAATTTTGCTGCAAAAGTTTCTTTTTTGACTTTTTGGGATGATCTTTTACGCTCCGTTTGTTTAGACAAAAACGTTTTCCAGAAAAATGTTTTCCACATTTTTGTTGTTTGGTACAATTGAAAACAAAAGTCAACGGAAAATATTTTCTATGATCAATGGAAAAATAATCTTATTTGGATATAAAATATTTTTCACTTTTAAAAGACGGAAAATGTTTTCCAAACCAAAATTTTATTATTGCCACCACATTACCACTATTACCATTACCTCCACCACCATCAGTATAGTCGCCGCCACAACCTCCACCGCCCCATAGCCACTGCCATTACCATCTGTACCACATTACTACCACAACACTACTACTGCCACCGCCGCCACCACCACTGCATCATTACCGCCGCCACCACTATCTCCAACACCTCCACTTTTACCTCCACATTACTGCGCCACTACCACCACCACTAATGTAACAGCTAATACATTAATTTCAAGAACGCAACCAAACATAAAAAGAAGTTTTTATGTGGAAAGCATTTTCCGAAAGAGTTTTCTATAGAAAATGTTTTTCGAAATTTTTTTTTAGAAAATCTTTTCTGTTAAAATAAATGAAGCGTTACTGACGACTCTCATGATGACAATAATTTGTCTTCTAAGGTTTTTTTTCACCAAAATTTTCACTTTTCAAAACAAAAAAGTTCGGTATCCAAAACTCTTATATATTATAGTGCAAGTAAATGGTACTAGGGGAACCCCAAGGATCGTAGATCATGTAAACTAGTTAGGACTCTTGATACTCTCATGCTTTCTTATGCTTTGAGCTTTAACTTATTAATCCTACTAAATAGAGAGAATTGAAATTCGAGAAGAGGAGCATACCCGATGCCAGGAAAGCGAATCTTGAATTCATTCCTTGATATGATTGTGCTCAACTTGATCAACATGTCAAATATATTCTTCCCTTCCAAGTAACTACTTCCAAAAGCTGTCCGTGAAATAATTTCTGATGTTAGCAACTTGAACTCTTCGTATACTTCAATTGCCTTTCCTTCACGATGTCTCCATCTTTCTAGCATGGTTTCCACACTTGCTGTCATTGCTGGGACCATTTCCTGCACACATACGAGCCCTTCTCTGAAATTGTTGGTACAATATCTACAGCATACCTCATTACCAATCATCCTTCACGAACAGAAAATTCGATGATGCAAAAAGAAGAATTACCTTCAAGTTCTCTGCATGGAAAGCATAGTTGGAGAGGACAATTTTTCACCTCGAGTTACTACAATCCCATCTCCAATTAGCTTCTTACCGTAACTACTAGGCTTCGTTTTAACAAAGGCTCCATCTTTGTTGTTCGATGACAACTAATTGAGGTTGAGGACCACGCACGCCATTGAAGATAATTTTCACCTGCTCCAAATATAACCAAAATTAAAATAAAAGTAGCGAACTTGATTATTGATAAGTATTACCAAAGATATTATAACTTGTCGAAGCTCTAAAGCTAGCAGGGACTCTTATGGTTAAGTCCAGTAGCGTTGGTCTCCCCCTCCTATACTTCTTTATCGAAGATAAAAAGAAAAAAGAAAGGTATGCGAGGGAAAATTCTAACGGAACTTTTACCATATAGCTGGATCCAAGCATCAATGTGAGGCATAATTCTTGGGAATATATGATGTGATAAGTCCATTGCAGTGGCGAAGGATTCCTTTCTCATGTTCATGATCTGCTTGGTGCTTCCATCCTTTGATTCCCTGCAAACCCATCATATATTGCACTCGGATCGGAGTCCACCATACCTTGTGCAGGAACTTTATTATGCACATAGCTAAAGGGAAGAAAATGCAGAGACTAGTTAAAAGGAAGGCTACCATGGCTACCCCCACAATCACAGCCTTATGTTCCTTCCCCCCCAACACTCAACTGACGATTTCAAGGTCGGTGTTTATATATATAACTGCATTGGTAATCATTTAGTTGACACAGATACAAAAACTAAGTTGTTTGTGAAACATATTCGCTTCATTTGTTTAGTTGACCTGCAGGCACTATTTGACATAGATGCATTGGGAATCATTACGTTGACATAGATACAAAAACTAAGTTGTTTGTGAAACATATTCGCTTCATTTGTTTAGTTGACCTGCAGGCACTATTTGACATAGATGCATTGGGAATCATTACGTTGACATAGATACAAAAACTAAGTTGTTTGTGAAACATATTCGCTTCATTTGTTTAGTTGACCTGCAGGCACTATTTGACATAGATGCATTGGGAATCATTACGTTGACATAGATACAAAAACTAAGTTGTTTGTGAAACATATTCGCTTCATTTGTTTAGTTGACCTGCAGGCACTATTTGACATAGATGCATTGGGAATCATTACGTTGACATAGATACAAAAACTAAGTTGTTTGTGAAACATATTCGCTTCATTTGTTTAGTTGACCTGCAGGCACTATTTGACATAGATGCATTGGGAATCATTACGTTGACATAGATACAAAAACTAAGTTGTTTGTGAAACATATTCGCTTCATTTGTTTAGTTGACCTGCAGGCACTATTTGACATAGATGCATTGGGAATCATTACGTTGATAACATAAATACACCTAAAAAGTAAAAAATTGTAAAAAAAATCTTTTAAAAATTCACTAAATACCAAAAATATAAAAAAATACAAGAATTCAGCACATTTTTTTTTGTATTTTTATGTATTTATTTATTTTTTAAAATATTTTTTCACAAATTTTTTACTTTTTAGATATATCTAAGTAAGGTGCATATAAAAAAGTAAAAAAAATATTTAAAATTTAAAAAATATTCATTAAAAATAAAAAATACGAATTCCAAAAAAATTAATTTTAAAAAAATTAATTTTTAAAAAATTTAATCCAAAAAATTCAAACCAAACTGATTGACTTCATTTTAGGCCTAGTTTGGAAAGATTGAAAAAAGACAAAAAGTCAAAAAGTCACTATCTTATTTAAGTCACATCATCTTATTTAAGTCACATCACCTCTCTAACACATCACTTCAAACCCAACCCAAACTCAATTCATATTTCATAAAAAGTCAAAAAATACACTTATTTAGTCTTCTCAAATTAGGCCTTAGTTGGCCTGCAGGCATGTTTGACATAGATGCATTGGGAATCATTAAGTTGACATAGATACAAAAACTATAAGTTGTCTGTGAAACACATTGGCTTCATTTTTTTAGTTGGCCTGCAGGCATATTTGACACAGATGCATTGGGAATCATTAAGTTGACATAGAAGTTGTTTGTGAGACATATTTGTTGTGTTTATTAAATAAGTTGTGAAATAATTTTTTTAATTAATTTTTATTTTTTATTTGTCTATATTTCTTATAAAAAATAATAATAATAATTTATAGTTCATTTGAGTCTTTTTTTATTTTTAAAAAAATAAAAAATAAAAAAATTTAAAAGTATAACCATAAATTAATATGTCCACAGCAGAAACAGATAATCAGAAGTAGGGGGTGAGAAGCTTCTCAGAATCAGCTTTTTTGAGTTAAAATAAGCTGTTAGAATCAGAAACTGTTTGAAATAAGTTTAACTAAGCAGTCCAAAATAATTTTTTTAAAGCTAAAAGTCATAAATTAAGTCTGAAAAACGGAAACAAACAGCTTCATTTGTTTAGTTGACCTGCAGGCGCTATTTGATTTGGTCAATCATACACGCTAGCCTAGTTTAAGAAGCAAAAGATCACGCAAGGCTCTTGGTTGACTTTTAAAAAATATTTTCTCAAAACAAATCTAACAACTTGTTGGGTGAAAAATTTTAAAGAAAAAAACACAAATATTTTCTAACATGCTTGATATTATTTTTTAAAAATTTTACAATATCTTTCTTTGTGTTTAATTTTATCAAATTAATTTCTATTTAAAAAAAGAATTGTAGTAAATTATGAAAGCTCAATGAACCCTAATATTAAAAAATAATGGTTACACCTATTATTTGCTGTCTCCTCCTTCAATATTGCTAGCCAATTAGACCTCATTGGGGGTCTTGGGGCCATTTCAGTGGAGGTCTGAAACAATTCCATTAAAAAAATTGAAAAAGTAAATTATGAAAGCTCAGTGAGCCCTAATATTAAAAAATAATGGTTACACCTATTATTTGCTGTCTCCTACTTAATGGTTACACCTGCAAGTACGCAAGATAATAGAAAGATAATAGTTTGCCTACCTATGTGCCATTCAATATAATTTTATATTTTTTAAATACCAAATTTAGCCCACTTCATTTACTTATTTTTCTACTTGATGGTTACACCTACTTTAATGGTTACACCTATAAGTAGGCAAGATAATAGAAAGATAATCACTTTACTTGATTCTCATTTTTTAAAAATAGTTTTTAAAAAATTCTACACTCTTGTTTTCGTATTTTTTTATTTTTACTGAATTTTTTTAATATTTTATGTAATTTTTTTACTTTTTAGACACACTTAACATAAATACACCTAAAAAGTAAAAAAATTGTAATTATTAAGTTGACATAGATACAAAAACTAAGTTGTTTTGTGAAACATACTGGATGTTTTCACTTTTCAAAAAAACACTTTTCTGAAAATGTTACGTTCTTATTTTTCATATTTTTTTTTATTTTTACTGAATTTTTTTAATATTTTAAATAATTTTTTTACTTTTTAGACACACCTAATATAAATACACCTAAAAAGTAAAAAAATTGTAAAAAAAAAAATCTTTAAAACTCAAAAACTAAGTTGTTTTGTGAAACATACTGGATGTTTTCACTTTTCAAAAAAAAAAACAAGAATTCACTACATTTTTTTGTATTTTTATGTATTTATTAATTTTTAAAAATATTTTTTTATAATTTTTTACTTTTTAGATACATCTAAGTAAGATGCATCTAAAAAAGTAAAAAAAAATATTTAAAATTTAAAAAATATTCACTAAAAACAAAAAAACAAGAAAACCAAAAAAAATCAATTTTTAAAAAATTTAATCCAAAAAATTCAAACCAAACACACTGATTGCCCTACAGGCATATTTGACATAAATGCATTGGGAATCGTTAAGTTGACATAAATGCAAAAACTAAGGTTGCATTTGGTAAAGTTTTATAAATATGATTTGAGCTTATAAGTTATATTTTGAGTTTGTGAGTTGTGAAATGTTAATTTGAGTGTAGAAAATTTGTTTGGTTATGATTTTTAAATAGATTGTTGAATTGAGTTTTGAATTGAGTGTGAAATTGAGTTTTGAAAGTTTGATTTGACATGTGAAGTAAGAAAATTTGTTTGATTATGAGTTTTGGAAAGAATTTTCAAAACTAATTCAAATTGTTATAACTCATAACAAAACACATTACTTTCACACTATTGAAAATTCTGATCAACACTCACATAACCAAACTCCTTTTAAAATTCAATTAAAAAAATTTATTATTAACAGAAAATAATATTAATCAATTTTTTAATTGAAAATACTACAAAGGAAATAATTTTTTTTTCAAAATAATATTCAAAAAATTTAAATCATAAATATTTAAATAATCTAGAAAATTTAATAAGTAAAAAATTTAAATAAGTATTCAAAAAATTTAAATAATTTAAAATGTTAATATTTTAAATTTAAAAACAACTCTACACTCAAATCGTAACCAAACACATAAAACAAAATTCAATTAAGAAATTATTTTTAAAACTCATAACCAAACACATAATTCGAAACTCCATACTACTTTCACAACTCTACACTCAAATCGTAACCAAATACATAACAAAAAAAATTAAAATATTTAAAAATATTTTTATAAAATAGAGTTTGAATTTATTTTTATAAAATATTTTAAATTTAAAAAAATTAAAATCGTAATATTTTGAAATTAAAATATTTAAAAATATTCAAAAAATTAAAAAAATTGCAACATATTTATATATTAAAATATTTAAAATCTTAACAAAATTAAAATATTTAAATATTTTAAAAATTAAAATATTAATTTGAATTGAGTTTTGAATTATGTGTTTGGTTATGAGTTTTGAAAATTAATAATTATGTTTTGAATTGAGTTTTGAGAAATGAATGTACAATTATGATTTAAAAACTCAAAACAAACAACATATTTAAATCAATAGGTGAAACTATAATTTCAACTGCTTACCAAACGGAGCATAAGTTGTTTGTGAAACACATCGGCTTCATTTGTTTAGTTGACCTGCAGGCACTATTTGATTTGGTCAATCATACACGCCAGCGTAGTTTAAGGCTAAGTTTGACATCTTTAAAAAAAGTCAAAAAATTAAAAAGTTACTATCCTATTTAAGTCACATCATCTTATTTAAGTCACATCATCTCTTTTCCA